GGTAGGTGTGATGACAGGGCCTTTTTTACGTGTTCCTTTCTCTAGCAATTTTTCTCCCATATGATTTGTATGAATTAGAGGAGTTTAGCTTTAAAAAATAAAGAGCTGTTCCAGAAAAAGGCACTGAGCTACATTGTAGAGGTGTTCATGTATTCCAGTTTTATGATCATATGGCAGTATGACTGCTGATACCCTTTTCCCCAGTTTGTCCATGTGCTTGCTAGGAAAACACAACAATGTGGGCTTTGTTGCTAAAGAGGAAACAACAGTTACCCCTGGCTGCTTATTACTTGCAGCAGCAAACAAATGTTATATGCTTTTAATAAATTGTAAAAAGGTGTCATTAGCAGTCCAGAAGAAAAACTAGGTCCTTTTAATAAAATTGGCATGACCAAAGATGAAACAATTATTACTAACTATTTTAAAGTGTGCATATAAGAAATATGGCAATACATCTTTCTTTGGACTCATAGTTCTTTTCTAATGAACCCATACAATGTATGGTCTGTTTATGTATTAGACAAGTAATTTTTTTCAGGTTCATTTTTGGGCACAAAGGTACATGTTATCTGAAGTACTTAGCATGAGTAAATTTTTATCAAACTCTTAGTGTTCTGCAAAGCAAGAACTGGGACAAATCATCCAGGGGAAGTGGCATGAGCCTCCCACAGCAAATTACTTGAGCAGCGTCTGTGAGATCAGACACTTGTGTCCATGTAAAGAAACTCCAGATCTGCTAGTGGATACATGAACCAAGAACCAGTCCTGAAACTGGTATCTTCTAAGCATGACAAAATCTACTGTTTGTATAGTTATATTGACATAAGTTCACTTCATCATTCACTGGAAGTGCAGCTAAGCTGACACTTAAAGAATCAGCAAAGATAATTGAAACCTTCTTTGCTTCTGGACAGCTACAGTTAGTATGGCAGCTCTCTTTTTTATACAGTAGCTTATTTTAATCAAACAACAGAAGATGTTTATAATTTGGAGGTAAATTGTACTTCCAACACCATCTATTTTAGCTGATCTAGAAATACTGACATCTTGATTATTTAATTTTAAATATATGACTTCAGTGCCTGAAGGGAATAGTCTCTAAATGAATCTTCTTGGACCTAGCAGGAGCAGTTAGATTCCTTGCATGTTTTGCTGTTCACAGTTTTTGCCTGTAGCAATGAGGATAATTTTATGACACTGCTTTTTTTTTTTTTTCTCTCTTTTTAATTTTTTTTCTTTTTAAACCCTCATGTTGTTTTACATACTTGTAAAATGCAGTTTGTCAGAAACACGATTAAAGACCTGTGCTGGTCAATGTGCTGGTTCCCAGATGTATGGAAATAGTTAAAATGATGGTCAGTGTCACTATTAGGGATATGTTTTGAAGAGTCTTGATTTGACCATTATATGGAATTGTTGAGAGATATTTTCATATGGAAATATTACAGAAATCGGGGAAACTAGCCTGAACTTTTCATGTTTGGAGTTCTCTTGGCTTTTGTGTCTTATGCTCTGGGCTAACTGTCATTTTCTTGCACAATAGTTGCACTTTCAGTAAGGAGAAGGACCTATTTCAGGAAGGTCTTCTTTGCCTGCTTCAAAACTTCTCTCAGTTTTAATTTTTCAGAGCTGTGGGTACGGAGTTCAGGTGCTGCCTCTTGTAGCTGGTATCTCAGGTAGAGATGGAACTTGTGCAGCAGTCCTTACTCAAGGATGTGCAGGAAGGAGCAAGCTAATCCTTGCAAATTCTGTGGGAAATTATTTTGTTTTGAAGGCTTTTCTAAGGTGTCTGTTCATCTGTCCATACTCTGGGTATATGTTGAAGGTGTGTATTTTGTTTGTTGTGATTTTTAAGGGTTGGGGGTAAGTGGAATTTGGGTTTGGTTGTGTGGGGTTTTTTTTGTTAGGGTTTTTTGGGGGTGGGTTTTGTTGTTGTTGTTTGTTGGTTTGTTTTTACTTTTAAGAGTGTGTTAGTGTTCAGACTTGTTTTCTTTCTCCTTCTGAGCATGCTGTAATGTAGTGAGGTGTATAGTGAGTTCTTGTTCCTCCTCTTGTTGCTCAACTGACTTAAAGTTTGTCCTTTTTTCCTGTGAGAACTTGTGATGAGGTCTGTCTCTGCTGCCTTGATTCACTGTTGTCTTGTCTGATAAGGGTTTCTGAAGACTTTCCTCTGAGTATTTGCAAGTAAGTGTCTACTTGCAGTTTCCCACCATATATTTTATAAATTTGAATTAATGCATCTAAAATAATAAATACACTTTAAAGAATAAAATAGCATGGTACTTTTAAACAGGTGGACGTCAAGGTAGAGAGAAGCTTAAACTCTTACTGTTTTTCTCTGAAAACACTCTATCAGAAGTGCATTCACATCCTTCTTTGTCTCTCCTTCAAAGTCTAACCTTGTCTTTAGATATTCTGATTGAGAGAACGAAGTGTTTCCTGCCTCCGTTTTTACCATGTGAAATGCATGTAGTGAGAGGAGGAGTTCAGCTAGGTAAGAAAAGAATTATTTATCCCCAGATTTCTCCCACAGCATGATTATACATGTGTCAGAGAACAACTGTCATGTAAGCAGCCTGTCTTTCCAGAGAAAGATGCTGTTTGGATTTAGAGATGAGGAAAGGTATTGTTGTGAAAGCGTCTTTGCTTCTCTTATATATGGGATGAGTAGGGAGAAATCCTCTTGATACTTACAGGGATAAAAGACATCAGACCTGTCAACATTTAAATCTTAGTCCTTGTTAATAGCAGGATTAGACCTTAGAAAAAGTCTACTGATTAGAAAATCAGTATCCTTTTTGTAATGGACACCATGGTATCCATAACAATGTACATATTTAATATCTGGATAAAGAGTACTGGTCTGTGTCTTTTTGGAGAAACAAGATTCTTTCTGTTGTGTCCTGGGTAGAGCTGTTTTTTGAAATTTAGCTGGGATATCAGAGCCTGGTTACATAAAGTCCATAGATCTTTGTTTACAGCCAGGGAGACAGAGAAGGCTGAGCTAATAATAGTAATAATATTTAAATTTATTTATTTATTAAATAAAACAAATAAAGCTTGTGTTTGTTTAATGTGGAAATACCATATTCCTAGGTGTTGGGATGCCTGCTGCTGTACTGTGGAAGATAAACAGCTTTTGAGAATCTGTGATGTGCTCTTGCCTTCATTTTGCCGCCTAAACACACATCCATAATCCTAGAGAAACCTGAATGAGAACTAGCTGTTACTGATATAGTTGTATGACCTAAAGTTAGTAATATCCATTAACTTATGATATAAATCACATGAACTGGTTAACTTTGGGCAAGAATAGTGCATAGTGCTTGAAATGTCACCCTTGCCATAAATGAACTATCCATACCTTTGAACAAGCACTTTATGCTCCTATATACTTAAGTGCAGAGAATTTCTGTGAGCGGATACTGCCTGCTGTGAGCCATAAGGAATCTCTCCTCCCCTTTTATTTTCTAAAATGTAAGCAAATTTAGCAGAAAATCTAACATTGACTATTCACTTTATGTATCACTCAGATACATTATGTCTTTGGTCTATTTATTTTAGTTTAAACTAATGAGGATTAGGTGTGTCCAGTTCTTATCTGGAAGGCTTCTAAAGGCAGCAAAATAAAGAGATAAGAGAAGAAGTTCATCTTATGAAAGATGGTGCTACAGCTGTGTTAGGGAGCAATGTTCAGTACCCATTCTGCTTCCTAAGTGTAGCTTTTCAAATATGCTGGTTTTACTGTGAAGTATCTTTTAATTAACAGCCCTTTGTTTTGTGTGTTTAGGATGTTTATTTTACAAAAATAGAAATTTTCCATCTTATTAAACAGCATACTGCAATTTGATGAGACAAAATGTATTAGAAGTCAATGTTGCTGATTATTGTTTCCTGAATTGCTCCATTTATTAGCAGAATGGCATGTCTGCCATTATGGAGTTGTCTCAAATCTCCAGTCTTCCTCCCCTGAAAAGCAGTTGTGTCTCATAACTGTGTGCTTTCAACAAGGAAGCTTGTGGAACTCAGTAGAGCTGCTAGTGGCAAAAGTTTTTGAGGCTGTTACTGCTTGGAATGTTTGTTATGATGAAGCTAAAGGAATTGGATTGGATCTAAAATGATATTGACACAGTGAATATAAAATAAGGGTCTGGTTATTGGATTTTTTTAAAAAGTCAAGGAGTTGAAACATCAGCTTTATTCTGGTACTGAATGAAAACTATTGCATTGTTGATTGGTGCCTAGATGTTAGTAGAAAGGGGTCTTAGCACAAGCATCTGCAGTGCACAGCATTGTAATCTCACTTGGCAGACAGGGATTATGCCAGTGTCAGAACCAGTGACCTTCCCTCTTGTAAAGCAAAAGTATGTAGTGATAGCATTGAGGTGAACCTTGTCCTGTTGCTTTCTGTGCTGTTCTGTACATACTCTATGGATAGGCATAAACTCTCTAGGGCTGTTTTTCTCCCAATACGATCAGTAACGTGAAGGAGCGACTCCTTTCCTACCTTACACTTTCAAGGAACCAAAACATACTTTCCTCTGTGAGAAAGTCAAAGCCACTGGCAGTGGATCCAAGTGAATGTGGAACATACATTTATAGATGTTTTCTGTATCTAAAAAAAAAAATTTAAAAAATATTGCCGAACATTATTTTTCCACACACACATTACAAAATGAAACTGTAAAATAGAAGAGTGAGGGAATGAAGAACTGGGTTTGAATCCTGCTGGATGATAAAATAAATCACTATTCCTAAATTGTGTAACTGATTATAAGTTTATGCAGTAATTAGAGGACTAGCTGCTAATGTACTTTTGAGGATAAAATAATATGCAAATAATATGCAGACAGAAAGTAATGTTTTGTTTTAAACATCAAGAATTGTTTATTTTTTTCTGTGGTTTGCTCTTGTGCTTGAGTAAATTTATTTGAATTCTCCAGGTGCTTTTCCCACATGAATGCAAGAAGTTAAAAGAAGTGACTGCTGGGGAGGAGAGCATGACCACCATGAAAGGAAGCTGCATCCTTGCACTACTGTTGGTAGGACTTGGGGTATTAGGAATACTGAAGCCAACAACAACAGAAGATACCCACTGCCACAGAGCTGAGCACCCAGTTATTGCATATAAAGGTAAGGGATAAACACAAAAAACCTTACCAGAAGTAGGCTAAGGATGGTGTAATCTCTTAAAGGAAGCCTCTGTTTTAAATGTAGAATGGTATGATAAGAAAAAGTGCATTCAGTCCTGTTATATATTAGCTTGGACTGTATTCCATACAATTTAAATGCAACTAAGCTTGCAAAGTTTGTTCACAATTTGTGCTGAATGTATCATTTAAAAGTGGGTGACTTCTGTTTCTTTGTGATTAAAACCAGACTGTACTGTTGCATGAGGTGGTTCCTTTCCAGATGCAGGACTTTGCATGTGTACACTTGATTTCCTGAGGTTGCTTTTGGCCCTTTCCCCCAGCCTGTCTGGGTTCCTCTGGATGGCAGTCCTGCCCTAAAGCTTATCAACTGTTTATCTGGATTTGGTGCTGTCTTTGGTGTTAACTCTCCAGATTGCACTCTGTATCCTCCTCTTGGTCATTGATAAAGGTGTTAAACTGGCCAGGTCCCAGGATCAACCCTTGTGATATTCCACGTGTTACTGGCCTGATTGTGGAGTAAGATCCATTAAACATTTACTCTGGCCTTGATCATCCAAACAGCCTTCTGCCCATCTGCTTATCCACCTAAAGAGACAGATGGTAACATTCTAACTTGCAGTGATACAGCATTGAAAGCCTTCTGATAAATTACATCCTCTGCTCTCCCCTCATTATAAAAAATACTCGTTTTATTATAGAAGGCAACTAGGAATGATTTAACCTTGGCAAATTCATGCTGACTGTTCTCAGTCACCTTCTCCTCCCTATGTCCAGAAAGGTGAGTTCCAAGAAGACTAACTCCATGACTTTCCCAGGAGATTAAGTAAGATTCACTGGCCTGTAGTTTTCACATTTGTTTTCCTGCAGTTACTGAGGACCTTCCTTGATCTCTGTGATTTTTCAAAGATTAAGAGTGGCCCGATATCTTGGTGTTCATGGATGTACCTTGTGTCATCCAATGGATTTATATAAGTTGGGATCTTGCAACTCATTCCTGACTCAGGCCTCATCTACTGCTGGTAGTTCTTGAACCCCTTTGGTAAATACCAGATGCCTTTGAGACCTTGTTGGGGAAGACTGAGACAAAGGAGGTATTGAGTCCCTCAGTGTCATCTGTGTCTACTGGCACTAGATCACCTGCCCAATTCATGAACAGGCTTTCCCTGTTTGACCTTTTATGACTATTCTAGGGTAGAAGCTGCTTGTACCACCCTTGACATTCCATGCAAGTCTTAACTCCCATTGAACTTTGTTTAACCGAACACCATCCTTACGTGCCCGTTTGGTGTTTCGAAATTCCTCCTTGATCACCTTGTCCCTGCTTACACCTCATACATAGTCTTTTCGCATTGGAGCTCCACCATGAGTTCCGTGCTTTGCCAGGCCAGTCATACATGTGGTTGTCATCTTGAGGATTGGGATGGATCGCTGAGGAACACTTGGAACAAAGTGAAGAACACTTGGAGGATATTATCTGTAAAAACCTGAGGCATTTAAAAACTTATATGATTATTTTGTTTTTTGAAATGAGATTTTCCATTACTGTCGCAACTTAGAATAAGTTCCAAATAGTTTGTAGCTATGAGGATGTAGGGATTAAGATGTATTACATTACATATTGCATTCCTCCTGTTTTTCTAAGAAAGCACATGTGTAATTTTTTTGTTCCAATGAATTAGGATTTATTGAATTTTAATTGAAAAAAGATTTGTTTCCATTCTTTTCATAAAGTTAGAGAAAATAATGTTGTGTTTTCTACAGAAAAAAATTTTTTGTTCTGGCATTTTAATGGTTTAATAAGAGTAATGGTACCAGCTGTCCCTTTCTCCAATAATACTGGAGACTGAACTAAAATGATTACATTCTGTACCTGGTAACAGCAAGCCATCAGTCTGTTGTGAAGGAGGGACCTTTGTCTCTCTTACATTGATAGTCTAATGAATATGATTTGTATCTGGTTTTCTTAGCATTCATGTTGTGTGTCTAATTGAGTTAAAAATGTTATTTTTATCATAACACACATATGCAATGTTTTAAATTGAAGTAGACAGTTAAAATTCTGGCACTTAAGAGCTTACTTACAGAAACAAGTGGTCACTGCATGTACTTTTTCTTTTTAATGAAACTGTAAAAGGAAATAATTGATATTCATTACCAGAGCCACATGCAAAAAGTTTATTAAAAATGTGTTGATTTATGAATCTCATTCAGCCAACATGTAGGAGAGTAGCTTGAATTTAGCCTGATCCTCCCTTACTGTTCTTTGTTGTATTCAATTTCTAGCTGTATCCTTCCAGTTCTAAGTTACTATGCTAAGGCTTTTTGGGACAGACACCTCCTCTGTTGTCTTGTTTCAGTTGCATCTTTTCATGTTGCCAGACATAGTGCCCCAGTTAGGGTTTACTGAACAACACCAATTCCTTTTTCTGTAAATATATGTGGGAAATACGATTACATAGAAACATTTACTGTCAGATTTGTAATACAGGATTTCAGTGCCAGACTCTCCCTTGACCTTTGTGCTAAAAATACCATTAATCAGTACATATCCATAACATACCTAAGCTTTTATGAACTGACATACCTTGAAAAAGTTGTCTTTCACTTAAAAATATTCTGACAAGCTGCAGCTTGTACTCACTCCAGTAGTCTGTTGGGAATCACTAGTTAATCTAAAAGTATTTGTGGAAAAATATTTGCAGCACAATACATAGTATGTGACAGGTAGGGGACATAACTGCTGTGGACACCAGTTTGAGCAATTGACTTGTAGTTGCAGAACTGCTAGTTAAGGGAAAATAAAAGATATGAGACTGAAGGACAAGAGGTTTATCTTTGAACCTCTATGTGAGCAACGGACTACTTGAGGTATCAAAGTGTAAAATAAGAGAGAGATACAAGGTCCTCTCTGAGTCTGCAGGCTAAACAACCACAGCTCCCTCACCCTATCCCTATAAGACTTTCCCTCTAGTCCCTTCACCAGCCTTGTTGCTCTCCTCTGGACCTGTTCCAGCACCTCAATATCCTTCTTGAAGTGAGGGGCCCAGAACTGGACACAGTACTTGAGATGAGGCCTCACCAGTGCTGAGTACAGGGGGGGAATTACATCCCTGCTCCTGCTTGCCACACTATTCTTGATACAAGCCAGGATGCCATGGGCCTTCCAGGCCACTTGGGCACACTGCTGGCTCACGTTTAACTGGATGTCAACCAGTACTCCCAGGTCCCTCCCTGCTGGGCTGCTCTCCAGCCACTCTTCCCTCAGTCTATAGCGCTGCCTTGGGTTATTGTGGCCAAAGTGCAGGACCCTCCACTTGGTCTTACTGACTTTCATGCCGTTGGCCTCAGCCCATCGATCCATCCTGTCCAGATCTCTCTGCAGCTTCTTCCTGCCCTCTGGCAGATCCTCACTTCCCCCCAGCCTGGTGTCATCTGCAAATTCACTGAGGGTGGACTCAATCCCCACATCCAGGTCATCAGTAAAGATGTTGGATAGGACTGGACCCAGTACTGCTCCCTGGGGGACACTGCTGGTCACCAGACGCCAGCTGGATGCAGCTCCATTCACCAGTTTTTTACCCAGCAAAGGGAGCACCTGTTGAAGCCATGGGCTGCCAGCTTCTCCAGGAGGATGCTGTGGGAGGCTGCGTCAAAGGCCTTGCTGAAGTCGTAGACTACAGCCACAGCCTTTCCCTTATCCACCAGGTGGGTCACCCAGTCATAGAAGGAGATTAGTCAGGCAGGACCCTCCTTTCCTAAACCCATGTTGGCTGGACCTGATCCCCTGGCTGTCTTCTATATGCTGCTTGATGGCACTAAGGACAATCTGTTCCATAATCCTGCCAGGCACCGAGATCAGGCTGACAGACCTATAGTTCCCCAGATCTTCCTTCTGACCCTTCTTGTGGGTGGACGTCACATTGGCCAACCTCCAGTCATCTGGACTGGTGATAAATGATTGAGACCTGTTTAGCCAGTTCTTCTGCCAGCTCCCTCAGCACCCTAGGATGAATCTTATCCTACCCATGGACTTGTTGGGGTCTGAGTAGCACAGCAGGTCCCTAACTACTTCCTCCTGGACTACAGGAGAGGGATTCTGCTCCTCATCTCCGCCTACCAGCTCAGGAGCCCAGTTGTCCTGAGGGTAGCTATTATTTTTGCTAAAGATTGAGGCAAAGAAGGTGTTAAGCACCTCAGCCTTTTCCTTGTCCTCTGTTACTAAGTTCCTTCCAACTCCAGCAGTTCTGTGATTCTGTGGTGTCACTTCCTGACTTCTGTATTCTTCCTGCAGCATTTACTGACTTCATGAATGCCTATAGGAAAAAGCCTTCTGTGTCTATTGACATTGTTAGTGCTGCTAGACCAACACAGAGTCCTGAAATCAATTCTTAACAGCTATTAAACCTTTAATTTGAATGCTGCATTAATACTGTATTCTGTAAAGTCATCTTATAATAATATTAGATCCACAGGGCTAAATGCTGTGTGGGATGCTGAACATCAGCCAAAACTGAGTGGTATTGAATGGTAGGTACTTTAAAGCTTGTAAACTCAGTACTCACTTTACAGAGATATCAACTCTTTTATTTTATTTATAACTGACTGAAGTCTTTTTTTGTAGTTTCTGGTATGCCAAAACAGCAGTGTACTTACTTGATTTGTCTTCATTTGAGAGTCACAGTAGATAAGAGTTTAGACTATTAAATAAAACTAATGGAGTGAGAGTCTGGTGTGGCTTATGGGTGAACAGCTGCAAAAAACTATTAAAAAGAAAAAGTAGTCTCCAGGAGTTGTCATGGTGAAATATTAAAAGGGAGCATATCTCCTGAAAGAGCTTTCTTTCCCCCTGCCAATCAAAAAGCGCTCACTTAGGTGATGGTCATGTCGTGCTACCTTTTGTGGAGAGGCACATACTATTTCTGTGACTGATTTTCCAAGCTAAAACGTTTTGGCTGAAGGACCATGGTATATTTCCTGATA